CACACACACACACACACACACACACACACACACACACACACACACACTGCTGTGCACATGCAGGGTTGGCTTATCTGCTACAGGCTCTTGATGCACACTGCAGTTATTTCCAAAGAAGAAAGCACAAAATAAATAAATAAAAGCACCAGCAAAGAAAGAAACGACAGCCTCTCCCCTATTTTTACTCTCAAAGTTGAGAGTCTGTGAATTGGCAAATATCCAAATGAGAAAAACTCTGGTTTGAAAATAAAGCTTTATTCAGGGAAGAAGTCTTGGAGATAATTTTAGGTTAAATGCTGTTGAAGTTGCAGTGTCAAGTCAAGAGGCCAGCAGGCGATGTGGGAAGGTGCTGGAAAGCGTTGTGGTGTCTGTGTTCTGCATCTGTAGTGCTCACATTAGGAAAACAACCACCACGCTGCAACGACAACAATACATCATCAGAATAGATCCGAGTCGCTTTTGGCACGGAAGAAATGCGTAGTGTAAAAAAACCTCCACCTTTTTCTGTCTCACTGTGAATCTTTAATTTCTGTGTTCTGGGGGCCGCTTTATTGAACTGTCATGACTCGTGCATTTCCTGGGCCTGAAGGGCTCATTTTAAATTTGCCTCGAATGTTCAATGGCACTGAAGCGAGCCCACTCAATACCACATGGCCCAGCGCCTCATCTTCAATGGATAATGAAATATGATAAACGATGTGCTGAGGCCAGCCATCCCAATGCAACACCTGTTCTTCTCTATTGACAGCACAAAACAACTGGAACTCCTCCCACATTCAGCCCAACGGACCCGGTGACGTTACCTTCACCCCGGTGGCGTCGTTACAAAGCTTCATAATGGTCTATTTATAGAATATATGCATGTAGTATGGGGTCTTTCAGAATCCGTAAAGCAACTGTATGTTGTCCAAACCAAGTATTTCAACGATAAAGTCATGCACACGTGACTTTCGTAACTATAAGAACAAGTTGTGCGTTTGGTATCGCTTGAAACTACAAACTTCCGAGCTTTCTAATGCACCTGAACGCACCTCGGCTCGAAACACACTGCTATAAACGAGGACACAAAGCAGTCAGAATTCACATTCTACAGCCACTCTGACACAGTATGCTCTTGCCTAAATATTTCATCAAGGCAGATGTTATAATCGCTTAAAAACGGTGTTCCCCCCCACAGGATAGAGCTTTACAGGTTAGAGAAACACATCTATGTTGGAAAGCCATCGACTGCTATGAGTTTACTTGATAGTTTGATTTGTTTTCCCTCTGGTATCTTTATATTTTATTGAAAAGATAACAGACAGTGTGAGGCAGCGACCATTAGGACCAGTCCAGTATATCAAAGGCAAAGTATATTGGACAGATGTTTATCAGAACAGATACTGGCCACACACAACCGACACCAGCAAAGTCAGAGTCTGATTCGGCCTCAGTCTGTAAAATCTACAATCAAACCTCGAGGACCTTCTAACCCCCGAGAAGGACTCCATTCGTCTTACTTGATTCAATAGTTTTACACTCAGACTAGATTCGGCATTCTTCAAAGATAATATATTTATTTGTTAAAGTGAACAACACCAGAATTCCTAAGGCCATTGGAAGATATGGAAGATACAAATGTTGGACAGAAACCAGAGGATCTGAAACACTTGTAATGAAAATAGAGTATCATATTTTGATTGTAAGAATAATAATAACAATAATAATTATAGAGAAATGTATCTGCCAACTATTGTTTAAACCGCCGTCTATGTTTTTAATTAATTTTGTTATTACAATCAGATAAACCAAAAGTTATTTTTAAACTAGGTGCTTTTTTGAATAATTAATATATGAAATATTTTTGTTATTGGGAGACAAGCCTGACAAAATACAGTTGTCACATCCGTCCTCTCCCTGAGGGCTGTTTCCCTCTGAGTGTATGAATATGCAGCTCTTACTGGATTCAGAGATTTTCAACAGCAGCGCAACCTTTACATTACACGAGGAGATGTATTGGTTGGAGAACTGGATAAAGTATAAGCTGCTATCGTTTGCCAGATTCTCTGGTTAAATCCATCTGTATGATCCTTTCTATATGATATGATTTATTGATGCATAACTTTAAGCCTTAATATAATTTATACAGGTGAGTTGTATAAAAATTCATCCGCTGTACAGTTGTCATGAACGGAGAAATTAGCCATAGAGACCGAAACCGTTTCTTTATTCCAAGCTGGACATGTTTCTACTGTGAAGTTTAACATGGAGGTCTATGGGCAATTACTCGCTTTTGAAGCCTCGAGTGGCCGTTTGAGGAACTGCGATTTTTGGGTCGGCCTCATTTCTCAGCACCAGAAGTCGCCGCTTGGTTAAACTTTTTATAAACAGTCACTTTGGGACATCTCGCTGCTGGCAGAATTTATTTGTTCACAAAGCACATGCTTGGATAGTCAGCGTTAACATCCTGGTAATTAGAAAGTGGGTGTAAGGCAGCAGAAACAGTACGCACAATCAGCATCCTCCTCATCTTCATGCCGCCATTGTTACCCTTTGTGTCCAACGTTGGTAAATGTTGAAGAAACAGTGATGAGGACAACTTGTTCAGTGAGCGTGTGAGACACCTTTGAGAAGTCAGACTGTCTGTCTCACAAAACCAAACAAAGAACCAAATTAAACTGAACTGAAACGTTCTGTAACTGTGTTTTAGATTGAAACTTTAAGAAACTTTATTTTAGTTTAATTCATAAAAGAAAAGAAAATGCTAACCTTTCATTACACCCCCTCTCTCTTTATGGGATCCCATTATTCTCTGCTTTCGGAAACTGCTGTACAGTATAATAAGGAAAGGTTATTATATGAGTATTATTATAGGCTGCATGAGAGGAAACGGAGGGATGAGTTTGTTTTATATTTCAATTAAAATGACACACAGTATACGCTGTTTACGTCATCTAAGGTACCCCGTTACACCATCACTTTTAACATGATCAACAGTGCACAACGACACTGCAACACTCCTCTGTGCTTCCTGTGTAATTATGCAATCTGCCTGTAGTACAATCTATTATGATTGTAATTGACTGGGGAAAATAATAACGGCGTAATCACAGCCTCTAATATGCCCTGCAAGTTGTTGTGATCCCACTTTAATTTATTTAATTAACCGACGAGGCTGGTTATTGTCTCTCTCAGCTTGGATTCCCCGTGAGCCTGAGAGGAGATAATGGACGCTGGTGTTCATTCTGCCCGCATCACACTGCAGCACATCAGGTGAGCCAGGTGTCTCTTTGACAAGCAGTGGCTGCGGTGCTTTCAAAAGGAGTATAACCGAGCTTTTGCTGCTCCCTTGTAGCCACATTGATTCATATGCAGAGTTTTTATGAGCATCCATTGATTTTATCTGAGGCACGAGGGGATAATCCAATCACGAGTACATATGGAGAAGCCCAAAATGAAGTTTTTATGCTTTCCTGACGTTGTGACTGTGGCGCTGGGCCACTCTCCAGGATTACTGGAAGAGTAAAGGGGATTACATTTTCTAAATTGATATATTGAGATTGAGGAAATCAGGTTTACTGTACCTTAACAATGTCTTCGTTGGAGGACTTGCACTGCACAAAGGCGGAGACGTCAGTCACCGCTCCATTCATCTCTATGGAGACCATTTTGACGGGAATGGCCACGGTGCGTCCGGTCAGGATGGCCGTGTTGATAATCTCAGTGTCCTACGAAGAGATAAAACATAGACATGATATTCATGAAACAGTGAGAGGTAGAGAGGGATTTTCCTTGATGTTTCATCAGCATTCACTGATGTCCACATTCAAAAACACCATGGAGCCTCGCAGGTGAAGCTCTCAGTGGCAGACCACAACTCATTCTACGGAGACGTCTTTCATTGGATTTCATCAACTGACTTTTTCATTTCCAGTGCGCTGCTCTTCCAGTGAGCAGCGGGAAGTAACGGAAATGGGACATCATTTGGGGAAAAATAATAATCTTAACCTTTATTATTCAAGGAAACCCATTTTATAATGTGGTGAATCACGAATCCAGCTTTTTAGGCCGCATAAAAGATGTGACGTTTATGGTATCGATTCAAAAGGCCTCATGCAAATATCCATTGCAGTAACTCTGCTACGAAGCAGTTTAGGGTTTGGTAATAAATTTGCTTATGAACAACCAATATATTAAAATAATCCTAAATGAGGAAAACTAAAGTTGTGTGCACTGATAAATAGAATCTTTGAACTCTGATGAACAAGGCCAACATTGTCATCCCATCTGCATTTTTATTTTGAATGCCCTGGATTGCAAACAACCAATTAAAATACACACCAGGCCTTCGGTTGCAGCTTGTATCAAGTCTTTATTTATTTTGCAAATCGTGTAAGCTGCAAGAGGGTAACAAGTTTTCTCATTTGTGGCAGACGAGCAGCCCAGGAGAGAGACCACGTACTGTATATCTACTGAAATCAAAAATATTTAATTATCTGCCACCCAACGCTTATCTTAAAGTCTTAATGAGGGTGGAGAACATGGGACTGTCCAACTCTTTGTTTATTCATTAAGGGAATATTATACACAGACTCAGCATTTGTGTACCCTTAACGGTTCTCTATTTGATAGTCAGGGCCCTAATATAAGTATTATAATAACTATGCTGTGCAAAGAGAAGGAGAAAGAAGTCACTCTGTGTCGGTTGTGGGCCGGAATGCAGAAAATAAAGGAAATAAAGGAGGACCCAGTATAGAACCTTGGGGAACTCCATTTAGTGCACTAAGACAGCTGGAGCTGTTCATTTTCACACATTGAGACTAACATAGGAAAAGCATCGTACACTAATGATTTATCAGACATTCCTTTGTTATTGAACCTCTGATTGAGTTTGAGACAGATCAATAAATAAGGATGCAGAGCTCTGCTTTTTGTATCGCGAGTCAATAATCTCAATCACTGCAGCAGTAAGTAAGTTGAAAATAATAGCATTAGTACATAGAAACTCTTTGAACCAGTTCACACTAACACGTTATGGAAATATGGTTGTAATTATTGAGAAATGTGACATCTCTTGCTGTAGGACATATTGAAGGGCTTCTCATTACTGGGTAGGTTCACGTTAAACATACGTGTAGTGTAAAGTTGAAGTACTTTTAGATAATAAGGATCTAATCCGTCAGAGCCAGCACGTTTGTGTATCGAGTGTTGACAACATTAATTAAAACAATTCAACATAGCAGGAGACTTCTGAAACGTCAAACATGCCCTCCATGCTGCATATCATAGCTCCAACAGAGCTCCTCTCAGTAAGTCCAATCAGAGCTTCACACAGCCACATTCTTTGTTTCTGTATAATGATCCATGTTCTGTGAATCCTTTGAAAATGGTCAGAAACATCAGTGTGCTTGATGCCAATCACATCACACAGAATTGTTGTTTTTTTCTCAGCAAATGAATCTATTCTGACTGAATGCTGCGAGTCTTTTATTTGCAATCATGAAGCAAAATCTCTTCAACAACTCCAGTTAGATCTGTTTTTGTCACTAAATATAGGCAGAGCAGCTCTGCTTTTTGTTTTTTGGTGTCTGTTTATGAAACGTGGCCACTTTATGAGATGCAGAGCTCAGCAGACCTCTGTGGATAATTGACTGGACTCTGGGGCGAAATCCTAATTGAAAGACATCATCCCTAAGCTATAGTTGCTGTTTTGGCATCTGGTAAGCATTACTACACAAAACACCTTACAATTACCCGTGTGCTAGGGGAGCACTAATTGCGCTTACCTGAATTCAGCTTGGAACAAAAATCAGTCATCACTGCACAAAGCTATCATTTCACTTAATTACTATCTTCTCTACAAAGCAGCAACACACTTATTAGAAACCCTGTTTAATTATAATCCAAACTAAACTAATTAGTTTATTTTGGCTACATTGAATATATTTTAAGTTCCCTTTTGAAAGCCTTATGTGAGGAATAAGCTGAGCTCTCACCTACTCAAACACATTTTTTAATTTACATAAATTTCCATAACAAAAAAAAGATAAAAAGATAGAAAATGTATATCCAAGATTCAAACTCAGATCTAGTTGAGTCTATTTAAGTGTACAACATGTGTTCCCTAATCATCAAAATAGCTTTGTATATATTGTATATATAAATACATCATTTATATATATATATTCTTTTATATGTATAAATCATTCCTATCTTTGTTTTCTCTTGAAGTTAATTCTTTTACAAGTTCTATTTGATGTCCCTGCTGTGTATTTATACCTGCTGTTTTTGTGCTTTTAGTTATCAATTACGTATGTTTACGTAATACGTATTACATTTATTCATTTACAAATTGTTTTAACTATTTATACATCTATATGTATATATATAGATATATATATATAGTGAATATGTATGTGTAAAACACAGACTGCTTGTATATCTGTGAAGGAAAGAATAAAACAGATTGACTGAAGATATGTGAGTAATCTTAGTTTAACTATCTTCACTTATTCACATGGTTTAAATCACCTTCCTGTCTGAACTGTGTTTACAAACTAGTCAGTTGACGTACTTGTGCTTCTTGTAATCCGCTGAGCTTACTTAACGTGTGACACGCTATTTTACGCTCAGTTGAACTTCGGCAGCTTTTGAATAATGTAAACAACACATTTTGCCAGATGTGTATCTTAATGACTGCACAAGGATATACATGTACAAATGTGATGCGTGACCTCAAGCTGCGGGGTTCGTGCAACACAAAACACAATTTCTTAATTAACATCTTGTAGCTGGTGATGTGGCACAGAGCAGCTAATGGAGTTGGGAAACTCTGGCATAACCACTCTGCATCATCCTCCCTGTTCTCCAGCTCTCTTCTCCCGAAGAAGAACATCGTGGGTAAGAGGGCTTTGGCTGCTCTGTGTTAACAGTGGGCTAAACTGTGTGGGAAGCCTCAGGGTTGATTTAAGCTCTCCATTCCTTTCACATGGTAAATTCACCGGCCATCCCACCGTTCTCTTCCCGTCTGCAGCAGGTCAACTGCAGCTGGTGCACAGTCTGCGGTGTGCCGGCTATAAAAGCCTCTCCTTCATTCTCCTTTCTGTTGATTTACCAGCTCTATTTTTCATTCCTCGTCTCGCTCCTTCTTCACAAGTTTCAGGGAAAAGAAACCGTGGGCTCCATCCTTGATCAACTTCTCCATTGCTTTGTTGCACAAAATGCATCTTGTTAGTATTTTGGAGACTGAACCACCTCCCATCTCTTTATATCAGCAGTTTCTGAAAAAGTGCTGATCCGCCATACACGCTCACAGTGGGTGTAAAGAGCTGGCCGGTTTGCATCCACTGCTGACCTTAAAATGCTCAGTTATTCTACAGCAGAAGAAGTCCAGCTTGAGATTCAGTCTTTTGTTTCATGTTTTTTACATTTCACTTGATCCATTTCTGTTTGAAATGCTTCAGTTCCTCGACCTACCAGCCCATTAACAAAGCTCTGGAGACAGACTGGTTGATTCATGAATGCACGGTGGTCATTGTCTCTCTTCTAATTAAACTCTGAAGTCAAACATAAGAACATCACTTTTGTATTTCAGCCGTATTGTGTTCTTGTTAAGAGATAAGCAGCATGCTGCAGGGTCCAACTGTCAATTGTCACAGCAGAGACAGCAGTTATCACTGTTCTTCCATTCAACGATCCATCATCGTTATTAAATCACTCACTTCACACAACAGCCCCCAGGGCTGCTCAAAGCACGATATGCAGGAGAGGTTAAACACAACTGCAACTAAGCGACGCACAAAAGCATCACTGTCGGTATTCATTTCACCCCAACATATCATCACACTGAAGTCACTCTTTACATTTGGAAAACAAACAGTTGCGATTTTCCCAACTTGATCTCTAATAACGTATGTGATTTAAAGTGATCTGAGGAGAGTGAGTGAAGTCATTACTTGATTACCTGATTGTACATCACACAACCTTGACACTTCACACCATTCCATTAAGCCTCTCAACAAGCTGCCATAATGATAAAGTTGGTCTGTTTGCTCCGATAAGACCGACTGTTTTCACTTCATCAATCATGTATAATGGGGTGTTACCATTGTTTAGCTGTGTCACTTCTCCTGGTGGTGTGGGGGGGGGGACTGAGACGTCAACTTTTTCTTTTGATATAATTTACAATCCAATTAGTCTCCGAAAATAAAATGATGAATTAAACCTCATCTTTCCAGGCAACCACAGGTCCAGGACCAGCGGGACTCAAATCAATAAATGTTGCCGGATGATGAAAGTTTGAAGGTTAGTCGGACTCTCTTTCTGCCTTTTTACTGTTCACAGACTGAGCAGCCTCAGTTGATCTGAGATGGTCTCAAATTTGGGTTTTGATGTGAAATGTGACTATTTATATCACTGAACAATGCCAGTGCTACTAGATCATTTAATTGGAAGCATTCTGAGGATTCCCAGGCTGTGAAAACGCTCTGAAATGATCAAGCCTGACTGGTCTTTTCCTTTTTTCTCTATTTTTAAAACAAATGTAGCCAAATCTTCTTTTTACAGCGACAAGGACGACTTCTAATGTCCTTGAAATTCTCTGTCAACTGAAGATATTTGAAATGAAAACGACACCAGTGAGCTTTTCACTGCTCCGTCTAGTATTAACACCAATCCTGTGCTTCGAGACTGCAGCTAAAGAGCATTAAAGTCATACAGCAACACTAACTACCAAGGAATACAGAGTAGAGAGGTGACAGGCAGCTACGCATGAAGCACCCGCAGTTCCTGCCATCTTGCTTCAGAATGTACTTTTTTACAAGGAAGTCACACAAGGCAGAGCGGTGCAGCTAAGCACCTGGGTACAGGATGCATGCTGCTCACACATTTCTAGGGGACTGGAGACAAGAAGTGAACCTTATGTTGCAACAGATGTACACTACACGCAAAGTCAGAACTACAGCTCAAGTATATTTAACGGAGCTTTAGATGGACTGCTGTAATTCTGCAAATGAATGGCGGGGAAAGTGCTACTGACCGAACACTTGTTCCTGAAGAGTCTCAGAGCTCTCAAACCATGGCATTGTTCAGCAGTGTTGCACTTCCTGTTCCCTCATTTCAAAACAAACTTTTTTAAACATGTTTTTGGTTAGATGTCTGAAATCAGGTCTGTGGTTAACAAAAGCTGAAGAGATGCTAATGTTTTGTCAGTAAAAACCCCTCTGGTGAAGATAAAAGCTTCCAATCCTGCACACAGTCGCTTTAAACTAGAATTCATCCAGAGATGAGAGGCAGCAGGACAGAACATGCTCGTGTGAGGCGTTTTGGACAGCAATAACATTTTGTCCTTAAAGTGTGAGGACTTGTTGCACTTTGCCACGAACGCTGCAAAGCGCTGCCCTCATTCAGCAACTGTCGGACATCTACCCCTACACCACCGACATCCACTCTTCTGTATTATTTACTGCACGGTACATTTTAATGAGCAGATATCATGAGGGTTTGGACATTTTTCGCTCAAAACCACAAAAGAGGAAGAAGGCAGTGAAGACGTAGCCGGAGGTACAACAAAGGGAAATTAATCAAGCAAGAAGGTGCTTGCTTGATTAATTTCCCTTTGTTCCCGTAATCTGTTTACTACCTTCACTAATTGCACCTTTCACAAGGCGAGGAGAAGAGACCCAATTAAAAGAGTAACAGATAAGTGCTCCAGCATCGGTTGACTTTCTTAACTATCAGCAAGTGGAGATGTTGATTCCATTTACGTGTCATGACGATCTGTCTGTATCATGTCGGATAAGTGATATCTTTCTCATTTACAAGTGCATGCAGTCATAAAGAAAGATATTAATATCTGCAGCGTTGGTGCCGATAAAGTGGCCCTCAGGATTCCTGATGAAAAGAGAACGAGTGGAAGCGTCATTAGTGGGATTGCATAACCTGTGAAGATCATGCAGATCTGTGATTATGAGATGAAACAGTTCCCTCACAATCTGCACAAACAGCTTTTTGTGCTGCTTGGACGTCCTGAGCTGATACGAAGGTTTCAGCCTGATCCATGTATTTCATGAAGGGCCAGATTTTCCACCGCTGCTCTTTTCAATGTTCCTAAAGGCTGCTCTCTGTTCTTATGGACCTGAACGGTGAAACACTCAGAGCAGATCACTCCCATGGAATATTAAATAAATACATTTCAGACCTATTTCATTTAAATTTGGGTTAACTTTAATGGCACCAATGTAATGTTCCGCTGGTGTTAAAGAAACCAAGCAGGTAAAACAAAGGTTTGCGTAGCTTTCTTGCACTGTGCAGCAATACAATGTGTAGTGTAGCATTTAACCAGCAACACGGCTAATATGAGATTTACCCCGCTCATGATATCCACAGCAAAAATATGCCATTATGCTAGCATCTTGAAAAGGCAAAAATGTTAACGGAACATTTTCTTTAAAACAAAGCATTTCCGTTCTGGTATTTCGGTTTCTTTCCTCAAAGCAAAGCACGGTTAACGAGTCAGTGAGATAACTTTGAATCATTTCAGTGTTTCTGACTTAAATGGTAATCATATGAATCTGTCGTGCCGCTCACCATGGCCAGAGGAATGATGGCCTGGATGTCTCGCTGCACCACCGTCAGCTCCGTCACAACCTTCTCTGAATCGGGAGGCGGGTTCTGCCCCTTGTAGTCGATGTTCCAGTTGATCCGTCTGGTCACCGAGAGGCTGGTGAAGTTCTCCATCTCGAAATCCAACTGCATCACCTCCACGTTGCCCAAAACCTCCCTGCCAGACCATAAACAAATAAATAAAACAATCGCACACAAAATAGAATTCAAACAACGTCAGATGCGGCAACATATTCGTGAAAAAGACAGAATAACTCCGCCAATGAATCTGTTGACGGGATAGTTTTTAATTATTCAACAGGCCATCAGCTGAGCTTCCGGTGTTGTGTAACCAATGTTATGCATTCAGCGAAGCTTCAGTTACATTCATTGATGAGATGATTGTGAGAACATTTCACTGTGAGCAGCTCCCTCAGTGTGAGAGGCAGACCTCAGGCTGACAGACAGGAGACAGTTAACACGGCTCTCAAAGGTCACAGCGGGCCGCTGACAACGAGAAGCTTCACGGCCGACTTCCCTTCTGAAATGTTACCGTTCTTCACCCACATACATTTCATATTTCACTACTTGATGTAAAAAATAATGATGTTCAGGTTTTGAGGTAAACACCAACACTTTAAAGAACCAACACTACAGATAGTGGATTGGGTAATATGATTTTGTTGTCCAGCAATTATGATAAGAGGTTTTCGGTTTACATCTTTCTTGATTAAATGAAGTCAAGGTGAAGAAGCTGAAACTCTGCTAAAGTCTTTCACAATCTAATAATGCAATTTAATACCTTTAGTGCCATAATCCCTGTTTGTTTGTTGTCTGGTCACAAACTCTGAATACAAATCCTTCTGTAGGACGTACGGGGCTTTAGGCACCTGGATTGAACCTTGATGATGTATGAATGCACCGAGCCAACGTGTCCCTCCTGCTGACTACACGCCACCTGTCTTCCACAGATGTTTGTCTGAAAAAAGGTTTTTCCAGGATTGCAATCCAGATAGCGATCACATTTCCACAGAGAATATTTTGCATAACTAGTTAGTGGCACACACATGTAGTTCTTAGGAGACTGGGTTTGACCTGCTGATGCAATAGATAAAGCTTCACCGTGTCGGACCTCTCCTCTTATAACCATTCATTTGTTCATTACTAAAGAAAAATCGGATCTGACGTTGGACTTATTAATTTAGCTGTTGTTAAGAGAGCCGCTGAGACTAATGAGAAGGGACAGCTTTCTAATGGCACTGCTGCTTACCTAGAAGGAGTTATCATGTGAAAGACTCAGTGATTGTCTCTGAGAACAGTGTGCAGGTCTTGTCAATAAACAATCACCGCTCCCTAATCCTGCTAGCTAGCTTCTATCTTCAGGCCCGAGCGTGGAGCTGGTGCGAGGGGATTGCAAATTTGGATCTGCCTCCAACTTTCAAATAAGCGTAATTGCAGCGGCTGCAGATTCGCTTCTGGCCAATCGATAGTTTTAGGTCGGTAACTTGATTGCTCTGGGGGCCGTGCACGTGAAATATTTGGGCATTTTCTCTGTTGCTTCTCTCTGCAGGGTATAAGACTTCGGCTGGGACCTTGGTTTCACTGTTGCAAACACGCCAGAGATGCAGAGGCGATGACAGCCCTCCTGTTATGAAGATCCTGCTTGTTGGGTTTGTAATCCTGGAGTTCAACAAGCCTAACGTGACACCGTCTCACCGGTGGCGAAGGGGCAAATGAAATCTCTCTCCACCCGTGACGGGAAGCATCCCGCCTCAAAGCTCACCTTTAGCTGAGAGTGAGGCGCTCGCGGCCCGTCCTTCACAAAAGCAAAGAACCCGTCCCACCGTTCAGCCCTGAGAGCCCTTTAATGAAAGCTGGATCAAAGTCTCTGAACGAGCCTCCGCCCACAACCGGTTCCTCTCGGGGAACATCGGGATGAGATCTCGGCCTATTTGTCTCGACATCACTCACTGAAAACAAACACCCCCGTCTGTCTGTGACTCGCTAAAGCTGTCGTCAATTACAGCCCGCTGAGTGAGTGCATGTACCGCCGCTCAATACAGTGCCGACTGCCACCGCGCTGGAGGGGAGGGATAAGCATGTTCACAATGAACCCATTTGGGTGAGAGGGACTGTTTTAGAGTGAAAGAGAGCCAATTGAAAAAGAATGTAAGTGGGGAAAAGGAAGAAAAATGACATTTTGTCCTTCACGTCTCAAGCGATGCGCCAGTTACACTTGACATCTTGACACGGTTTCTGAGATCTGAATCAGTGATGTGGTGTTTCCTAAAACATCTTCTGTCTTTCTGCGCACACCTTTATCTCTCTTTACATTACTAACAGCATCAACCAAACCCATGACAGTAGTTACTGTAGTTAGTTCTCTCCACAGCTCTAGTAGCTGCTGTGTTACAGTCTTATTACAAGTCCTTAGGGCGCGTCAATGGGACTATGGGGTGACCTTTTCATCAGAATACTAAATGATGCATGTGTTAGCTAATTAATGTCACCAGTTCCTAAGGTTTCAGAGGAAATTATCACTCCACAAGGGAATGTGTTTTTACGAGCTTTCCTGTACTCTGTTATCAATAATCTTCCAATATTAAAATGAACAATGTAAATACTTCTATATATATATATATATATATATATATATATATAGAAAGAAAGAAAGAGAGAGAGAGAGAGAGAGAGAGAGAGAGAGAGAGAGAGAGAGAGAGAAGACTGGTGTAGATATTAAAGTGGTTTGACAAATTTAAATGCCACATAAAGGCATTTATAAAAGTGAAAACTTGAGTGAGTGATTTCATACCAGAGGAGGAAGAGGAAGGAGGAGGAAGGAAGTGGCTCAAAAAACGTCTGGTCTTGTTTCCAGTAAGTTAATGATGCACTGCCTATCTGCATGGCACACAGTATATATTCCAAGAGTTGTAGCTTGGGGCTTTTCTCAAGCTCAGGAGGATTTGGTTCTTTGATCAGAGGTCTGTTTGAACTGATTAACAGGGAAGAGTTCATTGGATCAAAGCACCGCAAGGCAGTGTTACACCAGCGATGGAGAACAGAGGGGCTCAGAACGGTCCGCGCTTAAGCCGGGGATACGCGCCATCTTTAACCACGCGTCTGCACCACGTAACGCATCACGTTCATTTCTGAGGACGCACACAACACTGACTTTTCAAAGCGTTCATAGCAAAGTACGGGGACGTTTTATCAAAATAATATATTATGTGTTTTACCGAGAACGAGATAAATATTAATTCTGTGTGTTAAGCTGAAGCCAGTTAGCCTAGCTTAGCATAAACACTGGAGGCAAGGGCAAACAGCTAGCTCAGCACTGACCATGTTGTATTAAAAGTAAAGTACATATTGTGTTTTTAGAGGGATTTACGAGCTGGATCTATTCTTCTGATGATCATCACAAACGTGCGTAGCTTCTCAGCTTCTCCTTGTCTTGTCATTACAGTGAGGTTGCCAGGTTTGGTATCTCTGTGTCAGGGCAAAGATGGACTGGGCAGAGGAATAAAGTGTTGTAGTCTACTTTCCTCCATTTATCACTGCAACTGTAACTACAGTGACTCTGGGCTCTGAGGACAGCCAGAACCAATACTGTGTCTGAGTGCATGATGTGTAAACGCAGACGACGGACTGAAGCTGCTGCTCTGCCAACGTGCTGCTTTGATAAACTGTGAAAATGAGACCGTTTTATTGTTTTAGAGGTGTTGGTTGACCCAGGAGCCAGAATAAAAAATAGGCATTGTATGTTTCTGCAAACCACGAATACGTTGAATCGCGATGTTTATGAACCAAAAACACGTTTCATATCAACATTTCTACATACGTTAAACGCGTTAGGCTAGGTCAGCCATACTCTGGTTCCAGCTGTAATAGCACGAGGTTGATGATCTTCTCATCTCACCGTCAGAAAGAAAGCAAATAAATGCAAATCCCCAGAAACTTAAAAAGTGCTTATATATATCAGAGGTTTCCATTTTCTGGCCTATATTACTTACCGACAAAATTAAATGTCAATTGTAATAAACGACTTTCCCTTGAGTGTGGAAACAGTAAACATCCCCGAGAGAACATCTATTTTTCATGCAGCTTCAAACGGGCAAACATCACTGATGATGGAGCAGCTTAGACACCAGATGAAAAAACTCTTTTCAGTCCAAAGCCTCTTTTACACAGAGATTCCACAATACTGCCATTTGAAATTGCATGCCGACATGACGTGTAACTAGAGCTTGGTATCTTTACCTTTAAGGTATCGACTGAAATAATCCAGTTCCAACTATGACCAAAACTTCTCAGATCAAGCGATACCTGCAGTCGATCCCTTTGGTGCCCAGAACTAGAAAAATAAAAGACTATTTGTTTGGTTTTGCTTGCAGCAATCGCCTGCATGCACGCAGCTCTCAACACGAAGATGCCTGAGCCGGCGGCTAGCAGCTAACGGCGCTAACAGCGCTGACAGAGCAAACAGTTTTACACATACTTTAGCTCGGCTCTTCGTCTATCTCTGCTGCCGGCTTCATGGTGGAATGACTCTGACCTCCCATTCCCTGCTTGTACCGTTCATACAGACCGGCGAGGCAGAAGAACGGCGCAGCATTGAAAGGGCCTTATTTCAGTCCTGCAGAAGTTTTTGTTAAGAGTCATTATTGGCACTGAATCGTTTTTTTTTCTGGTTGCATCGGTTATTTAACACTGAATTACTCAGAGCAAAAAACACCTCATCTTATTAATGAGATGTTTTTTCAGTTGTCCTGTAATGCCACCGCGTTCTTTAGCAACATTATTCATGTGAAAGCCATCCATTGACCGCAATCAATAATGCATCGGCTCATGCGGCGTTATCAACGAGCTGCTGTTAGAATGTGACTGGGAACCAGATGGAGGGTTACAGAAGAATAAGTACGGTGGATAATCCCAGCAATGACTACAGAGGGATCTGATGGAGAGACACAAGATAAAGAGAGAAAAATGAAGAGAGGAGAGGGATGAAGAGATCAACGATACGCCCCCAAGGGAAAACACTCTCACCTCATTTCCTCCGTTTCAGGTAGATTTGAGTAAACAAAAGCAGATGTACAAACAGAAGTGGTACTCAGACGCATCAGCAATGACGTGCACAATGCTGCTGGTGTATTTATCTGTTTATGTGTCTGTGAGGAGGAAGGGGGGGGGCTTTAAATCTTGCACAAAAAGACTTATGAATGAGAACAATTATTGAACTAAAAAAAACACAGAACTATGCTTATTACTGAATTGAATTGGGTAATTAGGAGAAGAATTGCCTTGAGAATTCATGTATTTTGGGGCTCATTGCTGTCTGAGGCTGCTGCACAGAGTGTCCTCCAGCAGTGTAAACTCCATACTCCCAAACAAGGAAGCAAATAGGGTTGAATATTCTTTCTAGATAAAACAAATCAGCTGCTAAAAGCATGTTAACTAAACTGAACTATTAAAATACATAACAGAGATTATAGAGTGTTGCAGGGATGAGGTACTGAGTCCAACCGGAAGTTAGTGTCACACTGGTTCCCTCAACCAAAAGCCAATTGGATTCTTCCAATGGATTTTGAATTATTGCAGAAAATAATCTCTGTGGCAAACACAAGTTTATGATTCTTACACATTTTGTGCATCAAGATAATAATAATAATAATAATTTATACTTGGATTGACTCGTTTCTCTGCTGGAGAGGACTCAACCATCACATAAACATATTCACAGAGCAGCTTTAAATTCAAGCAACTAATATGACCTCAGGTCAGGAACATAAGCAGCTCCATAGTGACTCTTCTGGTAGTCAGCTCCCACAACAATGAATAACATTAAATGTTTAAATCCCTGTGTGATACATTAGTGACATTTACTACGTTAACCTTTTTGAAATTCAACACCGTTTTGATACAAATAAAGACTTCATCCAGACCTCCAAACTACCTAAAATACCAATTTCCCAACACTGCTGTTTGTTTCCACAAGAGAATCTTCAGAGGCTTGAGTGCTTTATTTTATATAAAGAGAGTTTACGCTCACACTCAATCAATTTGATGGGAATGAAGCATCACAACATGAAGCGGTCCGTAACTTCATGACTTCAGACGGCTATTGTTTGGCCGTTTGGCTTTAGGTGGTCACAGAATTGACTGGGCTCTTGACAAAATCGAGCGTGACACGTTGTTTTTCTATCCATGCTTGACCCCCTACTGGACGTTTCACACCCGGTGACAGGGTGGCAAAGATTACATGGCACGGGTCACTAAATATAGCAAGGCAGGCTGCCACCAAGGCGCTAAGACGTAAACAAGGGTGAAATGGTGCATTTCTTTTCCAGGTGAGGCCACTCTGCCTTCTTCCTCTCTGTGCTGTTTCTCCAGCAGCCATGAGGGAGTCCAGAGGGAAGGCAATATTTAGACCAGCAGTCGCTAATATCTCCCAGCCTAACTCCCGCGCTGCAGCTCTTAATGAATTGAACGCATCACATATTGTGATTTATGGTTGTACATTTTTTGTTGCTTTCCCTCGGTGGGACGAGCTCAAAGGCAGGCCAAACTGCACCCACATGAATAACAAAAACCCGTGAATACAATGTGATTGATGTTGACTGTGTTCATGTGCTGTTGAATAGAATCACTTCACTCTAATTCCAGAAACAAAAAGAGAAACGTATTTTCTCACCTGCATCAATGTAGAAAGTTTTGTTTTGTAGAGATTTTTGCAATCATTTCTGTACAATTTACATAAATGTAATTGTAGGTGTTGCTTGAAGCAATCATCTCATCAATGGTATTTTAAAAACAGCAGACAGAAACTGCTTCTGTTTTTTTTTCTGGATAACCCATCAACCTTCCTGTCAAGAGTTTTCATTGGAAACACTTTCTACCAAAGAAATAGTCCCGAAGAAAAGTGAGGAAGGAGACTATGGAAAGAAATGTTTCACTGCTGTGAGCATCAACAGTTTTCATCATATTTCCAATTCTTAACTGTATCGGAGTGGATGCAGATATGCTAAAATCAAAACGATATTGTTCTAAAAGCACAAAAGTGACCCTTCATGTTCAGGTCTATAATAACTATATAATAATCACACACAGGTTGTACTTCTTAAATAGGCCGTACATCATTAGATTACACTGAGCTTGCAAATCACTGAGCAACTCTAGTTTCACTGTTACCATAAAGTTGCATTTAGCGTAGAATCGACCCAGACAGAGTCCATCACAGTCCCGTCAGCCACTACAGGGCTGTGATTAGGTGATTTTTAGTCCTTTGAGGAACTTGGAATAATCACTGCTCTCAGACAAGATCTCATCTCAAAGGAATTTTAATGCCAGCAGTCAAAATGGTCTACCGCATCACTCCAACGTGGGCTGAATTAACAGCAGATGTAGTGAGACTAAGCAGATAAGATCTCCGTTCATTTAACGTGCTATAAAGCAGAGGGTGCTTTAGTCACTCTGCTGCGGGCCAAAGCTGTGTTTTATCTTCTGGAGCTCCCGGGGCATTTACAGAGAACGGTGTATGCTTTTAAAAGCTGCCTTTAATCAGGGAGTGAACTATGACTGTTACATGCAAGGAAACCTTGTTTGGGACCTTTTGTCCATTGTTAAGGAAGACAAATACCAGCGAGGGCAGGAATCAACAGCTCAGCTCCAGCAGTCGGTTAGAGACACGCAGTGTGGTTAGGCCCGGGGCGGTTGACTTACCCCTGTTTGACTGCTTTGTTCTTGTTCACATCGATGGTGGTGATGGAGTGCTTGGCGCCGGACTGAATCTCCCAGTCCACCGTCCACTGGGCGTTCTTTGACTTGGTCTCGAGCAGGTTCACCCCTTTCTTTGCTTTGACCCTGCAGGAAACGGCCAGGGGAAAAAGAACGGGATGAGTACATTTTTATTAGAAGAGGGGAAGGGGTGGGGGGGGGGGGGGGGTTGATTTATATGCAAGGTCAGGGGTGAGCGCCCTCCATGTGCAGCAGTCCTTCGCCTTGTATTGCATCATGGCAAAAGCAATTCCACAGATGAATCAATAACAGAGATGAATGAGGATGATACAAAGATACTACGTCAGGTCACAGAGTCCACTAACGCTGCTGAGATCTAGTCTGCTTCGCTTCTGACTGCATTGACCACTGACGTCTGGAAGCTTCCAAATTCAACATTTACTCACAAAACGAATGAGGCATTTCATATAATAAAGAGATAAAATAATCTGTATCAGGATACTGTATTCATTCCCTCAGCTCCTTGGGGACAACATGCTGCGCAGGAAGGGTCAGGGTCAGCTACTGAACAGGATTCAGTTTTTGCTCAAGGACCTTTCAGCAGAGAGGGTGTTTGAACCTGGAACCCCCGCCTCATACTCCCTGCAACCTAATATACATATGTGTCCAACACGTACATTCTGGCTCACATATCTAAATGCGTACACTGACATGCACACACAAATGCAGCGACCACAGACTACACATTCTCCTACACGCATTCATAACTGTACGGTGCCTGCAGAGGTTTTGCACGTTCGCATACTGAACATAAAGTATCACATATATGTTCCACCCACACAAATAATCCTGATGTGTCCATGTTCCCAAACACTAAATCAATAAATCAATACAATATATGATACACACATACATAAATAAATAGCTTCTAAAGAAGTAGAAGAAATAGTAACTGTAGAAAAGTATAAAGTGACAAGATAGACTGACTGCTCAAATATGCTGCAAGATACTTTCCTCATTTCCCGAAGAATGGTCAGGCCTTGGTTTATCTTTCAAGATGTTTAGCGGCATAGTCCAGATAAAAGTGGACTTAGATTTGAACCTGAAACATCACGAGTCAAATATTGAAAAGATGTAAACAGTGACTGTGACACTAAGCAGGGTTTTATTGTGTTTTGATGACACTGCACCTTAAAGCAAGAGGCTATTTGAACTTTTCTGTCAGCTGGATAACCAAACCAGTTGTGGCAGCTGTGCGTTGTGACTGAACCCAGGCGTGCTATGAAGGTGTCCACTGACAGAATAGGGAAACAGCCGAGAGGGAAGAAGCCCAAAACAAAAGCACTCAGTTATCATTGTGGTTATTTGACCACAGAGCCACGCCCGACTCCTGCACCGCCGCTCGATGGAGACAAGCGGCCCGTCCACAGACGTGCACTCATGGAGATTATTGATCTGATGCTCTCATTTTCATGAAACACAAGACGGGGATGAATTATTAACATATCTGGCTTTTGTTCGTCTTGTGCCTTCAAGACAATTCATTCAAACACCAGACTTGAAGCTAAGTTAAAGGTCACACATCATGCTCAATTCCAGGTCCATACTTGTGTTTTGGGTTTCTACGAGGACATATTACTGAGGTAAAGTTAGAAAGATATTGACAGATTTATTGAACCGGGAAGTCCGAATCTGTCAATATCTTTCTAACTTTACCTAAGTGGACATATTTACATGCTTTAATGTTCAAGAAACATGCTATTTCTCTGATAGTGTCTCTGTGAATGAACCTGTATTCACCCTCCTCTGGAAAAAGCCCAGCCTGCTCTGATTGGTCAGCATTTCTGTCTTCGCAGCGTCACTGCAGCAGCTGAGGACTCATCAACTACTCCGTGTTTAACAACACATCTGTATAGTCGGGACATCACAACCTCATGGAACTCCTGACGGCTCTTTCAAAAGGATCCCAACTAAACTGCACTGTTACGCGTTGAGGGAAAAGTGTTTCCTCCCGTATTGCTGCTGCAGTGTTAACTCTTTCAAACACACCACCACCTGCTCAGGTTTAGGAAACAACATCGTGGTTTGGCTTCAAATGAAATGAAGGCAAAATCACAACACAACTGCCCTGTGTATTGACCACAGGCATGGAAATCACACTTTCTACATTGTGGAAATATTGAAAGAAATATCTTAAATAATGTATTAGACATAATTAGATGATAATGATATGGAGAGCATCAGACAATGTTCTCACGTTTACAGACTAAACTCTGGGGATCTTAATGATCTTAATGATTTCTTTCCTTTACAGGAAGACAGTGTCGTGTTCTTCTCTTCCCGCCTTCAGATCAGTCGCCAGTGTCTCATTTACATTCGGCTGAAAGTCTGACCCCCCCCCCCCCCCCCTCCCTTTGCGACATCTTCCAGATCGTTCCATTTATTTCTTTGACAGATAAAAATTCTGAAGTCCCGCTGAGGTGTTTCCATTTGCTAAGCTAACCTGCGCTCAGTGCATCGGCCACTCATCCATGATTTGTGAAAGCAATTGACTTTCAGCCGAAGTCGTCTCCCCTTCTGTCAGCCGAAGTAGCCACGCGGCTCAGACTGCATTCTAATGTCAGCGCCACAAACCTCAGTTTGCTGCTGAAAGTATTTAACAAGGGATTAACAAAAAGGCAATTATAACCGTAAACTTTAAAATTGAATACATATAAACCTAAACCTATAAAAACGACGATTATCATAATTACCACAATATTGTAGATTCAATCTATAAATACTGAAAGTTTCCTCATTTGCTGACCTAAACGTGCCATGTGTGCCTCAAACCCTTTCCCAATCTGTGTGAAACAAACGGACGAAGCAGCTCTCACAGGTCTGCAGCCTCTGAAACTCGGTTTCTGGTTATTGCAGCTCTTATTGTCTTCTTTCATCAAATCCCCCCGCATGAGAGAAAATACAGTTATCATCTCGCACAGCTCCGTCAAAGAGGAGATGAAACAGAGAATATGTAATGTTTAAGAAATCACCCTGATCAAGCGCGTCGCCTTTGATGCGAGTTGAAAAGGGGAAGCGTAACTCCCTCAGACTCTCACTAAACGAGGTGACCCAGTTGCAGCTTGATCACTGTAGCTCGTATAAAAAGACTCATGAGAGATGATAATCAGGCATTATTGTAGTACGACCGTATCCTGGTCAGGATGCAACCCTGGTGAGTAATACTTGTATTTATATTCATTACTACTCTCACCAGCAGCTTATAAAAGCCTCTACATATTCTTCATAATCTTCTACAGAGAGCCTGCACGTTGCTCAGAACCAATGCTTTTAATCAGAATTTCTGCACCACAAATGAGAGGGGATGAAGCATTACCCACGGGAGCGCCACATGAATCGGGCTCCCCATTGAACAGTGTTAATGCTGATTAATGAAAGAGCATCGCAAATGGAAAAGTCGTGCAGCAGTAACCTGCAATAATACACGCCCAAATTCTCAGAATCTCCGCGGGCTGCTGCCGCACGGAAAGGTGGAGAGGCAGTGTGAGCCACTTCAGCTAAGACAGAGCTATTACTTACTCATTCCACACAGATGCCTTCTGCCATGGCAACACCTATTAGACACCGAGGTGGCAGGCGGACTGCTAAACAGGAGAGCGTTTGGTCAACACCTTTCAGGGCCAGATTTGTGAGCTTCCCCTGGGTTATCAGATTCAGTCTTTGTGTTCAGAGGTAAAGCAAACACTGACCCACAGCATGAAACCACCAAAACACAGCGCCATCAATCGTCATCATTACCAACATGACTTGATCAGCTGCTGTGAGTTTTGCAGGTTATTATCTATTTTAATAGGACATTTTCAGCCAGCACAGAGTTTGGTAGAAAACTCATCACATGCAGGAGCTGTGAGGCATTTTTAAACATCCATCCGTCCAGTAAATGCATTCTTAGCTGCTTGGCACAGACGTGCAACTGGTGTTAAAGGTGCAACCTGTCAAATATAGGGGGCAGAATTTCACCTCTGGGTGCACACAATCTATTTACAGTCATCAGTTATAGAAAATAAACTAACAGCAGCAAGAATATGCAAAATTGGACGTATAGTTCACGTCAGCCGTGTGTTGGCTGTGCCACTAACATTACACTCGTCATGTACATACAGGTGGATGAGGGGGGGGGAATCACCAGAAGCCCCACGATACGATCTTATTGCGATATTAAACATTTTGCAAAATGCTGAATGCTGCAAAATGATACCATTTGTCAACATCTGTTTTATCTAATAAGTTTTTTCACTCAGTTCAACCAACTTGTCTCTTTTTTATCACTTTTTCTTGCAGCAAAATGTGTTTGTCAGAACAGCAGACAGTCTGAATTGGACTGAAAAAGCAATTTATCAAAAGGTTTTCTTTGCATTTACAAGTGAATAGTTTCTATAATAGAAGATCAACACGTGTTATCCAATATTGCAACGTAAAATGTTGTGATATTATGTTTTTATGTTTGATTTTCTCACCAATCCCTAAGGTACATACATGACATGTGACCTCTGCATTCAACCCGTCCTCAGCATTGTAGGAGCAGTGGGCTGCTGTGAAAGGCCCTGGGTCCACTGCCTCCCTCTGGGACACTTTGACATGGAGACAGTAGGAGTCGGGGATTGAACTGCCAACCTTGTGGTCAAAGGACGACCCGCTCTTCCCACTAAGTCCTAGTTTCCGCAATTTATTGGATTAAATCCAAAGTGTCAGGAATGAAAAACAACTCGTATTTTTGTTTCGTCCTCCACGCAACCGGGATACTTCTTCTTTGTCCTCTTATGTTGGACTCTCTATCGCCTCTCGAGGTACAAGTGGTCCAACAAGACCGGCCGGGTCAGAGCTAGCTGGTCAGCATGCTCATTTCAGTAGATATTGACGATGTTACTTCGTTGTTTGAATGTTCTGGCCAGATCTTACACATTGCACCTTTAAAGACACTACATATATAAAAACTTCTTTATTTTTCCTGCGGCATTGAAAGCAGCGTTCTTGTCTCTTCTCTGCAGCCCGCTGTGTCTCCATGGTGTGCTCGTACTACTTGAGAGCTTGGATTGCTCTCCGCTGGGCACAGAGGCCGACATCCT